TCCTAAGCTTCATTCACATTTTACAGGCCACTTTCACTGACCATTATTCTGGTTTGTAAATTTTAGCAAACAAAAATAATCCCGCTTCTAACTTCACATTTCAGGAACTAATTGCGCAAAGAGTGCGCTTTAAATGAGCCCTGGTTACTCCATTTCCATTGCTTTACCACTCCCAGGTTCTCTTTGCGTAGAACAGTAGGCATGGCCTCACGCACCCTCGAGTCGGCCCTGCCAGTACTACAAGATGGTAAAATCAGCTTCTGCACACTCAAATTTTACCAGTTCCTCCTCAATTATGCACGATTAGGCACTATATCTTCCGTGCGAAAGAGAATCGTCATCACGTAAATAATTGGCGGTTTTGTGGCAGGAGGTGAAACTCGCGTCTCATCTTTCGACTAATTATCCAATGGATTGGTCTGAGATGCAGAAATTATGCCTCAACACCTTCAAAACATTCAAAAGTCCAATTCGCTGAAAATGCAATGCGTCAACTTCTAATCACAGCCGAGATTGTTTCAGCAGTTAAAACACATTGACAAAATTCGGAGCGGATTAAAATGTATTTTAGCCGTCATCTAAGGGCTAGTAAAAATTGAAATTTTTGTTCGAATTGATGATTGTGCTCATATTTATTTCCTTATGCAGTGCTTTCTTTGATTCTTTTAAGCATCACCAAGCTGCAGTGGTTCATATAATTTTCATGTTTTCAAGTTCTTTTCTGACTTACAGCCCTGCGCTTTCAAATCTCTACTTTGTCGGAGGACCTGCGACTAGGAGGCTTCACGCATCGGCGGGTAATTTTATCTCAGCTGCCTTCTCCAACAGGCATGACTCAGGAGCAATTCGAGTACATTTGGATGAGTCCTGAGGGCCAACCAATGACTCCTCAACCCAGTCCCGAGATTTACGTCCACTTGAAGTCGCCTCAACAATTCGGTGTCTACACAATCCGCGTACGTGGTACCCGCTCGGGTTATACACACGAACTGCAAAGCGATGTTCTTCTGCAATGTAAGACCCCTCTGCGCCTTTGCTTAAACCTTACACCGAGGAAATGTGGTTAATTCTAGTCTCTCAAGCCAAAAGTACTGCCTTAAAACTGAATTTTTTAAAACACGGAAAACAGTTTATTTTATTACAATTACTCTTTTGATTGTAGAATTTGTTGAAGACGTGTTAAACGTTTCCTTTAAGAAAACCCTTAATTTTGGATGCAGTATAAAGTCAAATCCTTATATTAGCAGGATCAGGTATGCCATTGTATTGCATCTCATCGTGTTCGTAGTACTACATGGAAGTGGGATGTAATGAAGGTCGTCAAGTTCCCTGGTGTTTTTTGTGGTTTTAAACAAAGGGAAAGTGGACAAAGTAACTGTGCTTTACTGGCTTAGTACTTCAGAAATGTTGTCAATGAATGCTCAATGCATTGGTACATCCTCCCAATCCTGACGCGGATGTTAAACTCAAAATCTCGAGTTAATGCCTCCTTACTTCCATTTACTCTCACACCAGTCCATTTAACAACCAATTTTCTGTGCAATTTATAATTAACCATTAAAATTAAAAATAAATGAAAGATTATGTTGCGTACAGCACGTTAAATGGGCTCCAAAATCGCCCTGATCTCTAACATAATCAGAACCATATAAGGAAAATTTTATGTCTCTGCATTCAATAGCTAACCCGGATGGCTATTCACTTTGGATCTTGGGCCAAAGGGAAGCAGTATTGCCAAACTCAAGAGTAGATGTGTTATGCGAGGTGCGACCGACACATCCAGGTGCTAAGGTGCGGTGGGTGAATGCACAGAACCTGATGGTGGCACCTAATAACCGACTTGTGATTGAGCGCTTTGGGAGTTACAACGAGGGTAGTTACTATTGTGAGGCATTCTTACCCGATGGAACCATCCTTCTTAAGGTATGTTTTCCCTTACAGCCTTAAGATCGCCGATATTTCCAAATCATTCGTAATCGCTCTTTGTTTTGTTCTCCATTAACCTTAAACGGCAGCAAGGTGGATGATACTGGGATGAAAAAGTGCGGAGACCTTCCGAAGTATCGGCTAGAGGTCCTTGTCACATACACAGGGAGTCTGAATGCAGAAATAACGTTTAAAGAAAGTTTGTAATCTCTGAGACAGTGATCCAAGGGATACGTCATCTTTCTTATTCAATTTAAAATCGAATTTATAGAGACAAATGGACTTTAAAATGAATTCAAACGCTTGATTTTTTAAAAGCTCGACCTCGACCCAATATAAGTCCATTTCGAGGGAAAAACCTCCGCCCCAGGCTTGAGACGCAGGGTATCGCAAACATACGCCTCAAGAAAATGAAAGAATAATTTTAAACGGATAACATTCTGCAAATAATGGGTCGTGCATCTTATCGGTGGTCAAGAAAATAGGTGTCTGGTTTGGCTATTTCCCTTAGGCTGTCCGTAAATAAAATTGCAAAATTTAAAACACCTTTGCTTCATTTGATGCCACTTAGATGGATTTCTTAAGCATGGCTTCTCCGTGTTCAGGCACTAATAGGCAGCACACAGGAACGTTCTGCGGTCTTAAAGTTTATATTTTCGCAAGTTTCCTCAAGGGCTTCGTTGTGCTCTTTTGCGCCCAAGCCCCATCAAAAATCGTCTTCGTTACTTTGACTTGTTATTAAAGGTAATTGAAAATCCTTGTGTACTCCTGTGGTTCTCTCGCACCTCGATTGGCAACAAACGATGGAAATAAAGGTAAGAGTTTGATGGCGCACATGGTTCTAAGACCCAAACCCCTAGATCGCCATCGGTCTCAGGTCCAAGATGGGTATTTGGGAGCTACGGGTGATAATTTTCGTTCAAATTCTGAGTACTTTGGTGAACGACTAAGTGGCAACATATTATTAATGTTCTCCTTCAGAGCTCACTAAGTCATCAGAGTTTATGGTTTTATTTGGAGTAATAAACACAGGTATGGTCAACTCACACCATCATTCATGTATCCCGCACCCGACTTCAAACCAACAGTTACCAAACAGAGACAAGTATCCTAAGGTTAATCACATCAAGTAAATCATGCCTGTAAAAGGAACTTGTTTGAACAATTCTTCTGGTGACAGCACAATGCTGCTTCTCATTTAACATGCTGCCAAGAATTTACTGACACCATATTATTACTTCACCGATGATAATGGGTAAAATACCGTCATTAATAACTAACCAAGGAATATGCACCCTTGAATTGGGGGTGGTGTTTGTTTTGAACCTTTTGGATAGAGACAGCAAATACTATAACTGCACAATTTGTCAAGTCTTGCTTAATGGACAGGGCGACCAGGGAGATCAAGAAGTGAGTGTCAATACTCGTGGGAATTTTCAGACGGTGAGACTGCCCCACCGTCGCCTAATGAACCAACAACCACAGAACCGATGCAAAGCATCATGCCTACCTAATAGTGTGTAACCCTTGTCTTCTCTCTTCCCTTAAATTGTTTGCTATTGCAACAATGTGGGCTCCTCTATTGATGCTTAAACTTCAAAAATAGGTAGTCAGTTAAACAAGTGTGAGGTGTGTATTAAGCTTAGTTAACCTTCTCTTTCGAAAGTAAAATGCGATTGTTTTAGCAAGTAATACAAATGTCGCTTTCGGCACACCGAAAGGCAATGAAACAGCCTACCAAGTGAAAAGCAAAACTAAGTTTTCTATTGACATTCCTTAAATAATCTTTTGTACGTACAGAGAGGCTGGTGGATTGTTCGGATTGGCATTAGCGAAACGTATGTTATGAGGACATTGGTAGAAATTGTAACGGTTAAAGAGCTTGAGCAGTCAAAATAAAGGTAAGGTAAATAACATTCTGTAAAAAGCAATAGGGAGGAGCTGACCCAGTGTTTCTAATACTGGAAACCTTTAAAAAGGTAAGTAGGCTGTGTAGAGATTAATGAAACCGCTCAATTCTGTTTAGAAATTCTCTCGTCAAATGGGAATTGAAACAGACATCTTTGAAAGTGGGTTTGTCGGTGATGGGAGCAATTCCTATGCAGTCCATATTGTGCGTTACCCCTCCCACTTCTTCTACAACAACGAGGTTCAATTGCATTGCATTGTGCAACCGGATGTCAGCGGTGTGACATTC